AAGAGCTTGTTTTCACTCGCAGCCTCATCAATACCTAAATCCTGGTGAACAAGTGACACTGAGAAGCTGTAATCAATAGCTCCCTGTGCGTTTTTTCTTCTGGTCAAATGGTTCAGCACTACTGACAGCCCTGACACTCGGAACATGATGCTAAATCTTTATCAACAGCCATCTGGGTGAGTGGCAGAGCAAGGCTGGGGTGGTCATTAGTGCTTGTGGCAATCTGTGAATAAACTAACTCCTCGGTAACGCATTTGTTTAGGGAGAAAAGGTGGGGGAAAAACCTCCCTGCACGTGGGATCGATCTCCTTGGAACTGCAGCGCTGTGTCTGAGGACTGAGCAGGGCTCTGCTGTGCCACTCTGGCAATGTGAGGAGAGGGAACTGTCCCACCACGCTGCTGATGGGCTGGAGACCTCCCAGAACTGCTCAGCTGTCAAACCCAGATCAACCAGGCCATAATGGAACAGTTGAGCTATCATGTTGGAACACACAGCAAGAATCACACTCAGCAAAAAAGAACCTTGTGCTTTCCTCATGTCATAGATTCCCCGACTGGTTAGGGTTGGAAGGAACCATCATCTAGTTTCAACCCTCTGCTTTTCATCCTCTCTTCCCTGACATACTCCTGTGATATGACCCAACATGGGTTCCAGGCTATCACCAGCCACTAAAGGAACCACAGACATTAGGAATGAAAGATATTAAGGAAAGGTTCTTCTCCCAGAGGTGTTTGGGCACCGGAACAGGGTTAGGTTGGCTATCAGGACAAGGTTCTTCCCCTAGAGGTGTTTGGGCACTGAACAGCTCCCAGGGCAGTGGTCATAGCCCCAAGGCTGACAGAGCCCAAGGAGTGTTTGGCCCATGCTCTCAGGCACAGGGTGCATTGTTGGGGTGTCTGTGCAGGGACAGGAGTTGGACTCAGTGATCCTTGTGGGTCCCTTCCAACCCAGGAGATTCTATGATTTATGAACAAACACACAGGTAGCTTCATGTATCCACAATGTGCCAGTTCCATCCTCCACCATCTTCTCACACATGCAAGATTGCTCCTCCCAATCTCCAGTGCTCAAAACATTTTGGCTGAATAACATCCTTGATTTAGATCCATATTATATCCTTGATTCAGGATAGAGTGATATTATATCTTTGATCTAGGACAGATTGATGTTTTATCCTCGATTTAGGGTAGGTCAATATCAGCATCAGGTTGTGCCCTTAGCTGGGGTTGAGCCCAAGCCATAACACCTCCAGAGAGGATGCAAACCCCAGTGCAGACGGCTCTGGCTGCTGCTAGCAGACCGGTGAAGATGTCTTATTTAAGGCACAGAACAGTCATTTAGGATGGCCTTGGACTAATCAGCCCAACATTCGCCACGTCCCATGAGCCCCTGTGATTTCCTTTTGATCCTCCTCTCCCAGTCTAATGAGATTTTTAATTGAACTTTATGGGTTCCCTTTGAGGACCACAGACTTTGCAATCAATGTGAACCACAGCAAACTCTGCCAAGTTTCTCTTGCAGAAGGTTAGGCATCCCCACTGTGTCCTCGGCACAGACACTGTGTCCTTCAGCTGCTGCTGCCACCTCTGCCACCTTCTCACAAAGCTAGAAGGTCACCACATGAAATAAGTGAAGCAGCACAACTGCCTGAGAAACCTGTGGAATGCACACTACCACAATTAAAGACCAAGCCTTGATTTGGCTTGGAGGGAGAAATGTGCTGGTATTTGGCGGGGAAAGGGGAGATTTGCAATGTTATCAACAGGTCTGAGGGACAACACAATGTCAGGGTTGGGGTTATTCCCAATGCTCCTTCTTGCTGTTACTACTATCCTCAAGGAATCACGTTTGTCATACAATCAATCTACCTCTAATGAGCAAATGCTCATTTTTACTGTTATACTATCCTCATTGAATCAGATTTATCATAGAATCTATCTCCCACCAGCCCAGGTTGCTCCAAGCCCCATCCAACCTGGCCTTGAACACTTCCAGGGATGGGATTGGGGTTTGGACTGCAGGGTTAGACCTTGGGTGGCTGTAGAAGACTGGGAGCTGCTCACACACCTGCTGGAATCTTTGACCCCCATGTTGGTTTTACATTCATCCTCTCAGTATTTCCTTCAATAAGGTTTGTATGAGGCTGCAATGTAGAATTGCAAATGGGGCTAGAAAATGTGTTTTCACAAGAGCTGATGGCTCTACAGACAGAAATGACAAAGGTGAGAGGGCTCTGCAGTGACATTTTTTGCCTTTATATTTCACCTCACTCATGAAAACAACCTGTGCATCACCACAGTCAACCCGCACATAGTGCTCATAGGTGAAGGACCACAGAGAGATTTCTGTGGGAAATGTGAGGAATGGTGAAGAGACCCTCACACTGAAGTGCAAAAGGATCACGTGTGTGTTTGCATGTGGAATATGGATGGAATGTGAGATTGACTCCAGGAGATGTGCAGCGATAGAAATGTGGTTTATGATGGGCAGGGCTCTCATTACAGCCCTGATTTATCATTTTTTTTATCATCAGCTTTCTCTGATGAAATATTGGGGTGGTATTATATTAATACAGCTCTTTTCCCCTAAAGCTATACATTATTATCTATAACACACTTAAACATTTTCTGCTGGGGCCAGAAACCACTGCAGTCATAGGATGGGCTGGGAACCAGCAATAATAACCAGGACTCCATTTAAGAAAAAATTGCAGTAGCTTTGCTGTATATTTTCAGAACTATTTTCATCCTTCCTCACAGGGGAAAAAGCAGGAATTTTCACACCACAACCTGCTGTTACTGCTACTTTGGATGCTGCTGCTCCACTGCAGCCTGAGGGCAAAGCTGGGTACATTTCTAGGCGACAGCAATTACATCTCCTTTTGCACAACACTGGATTGTTATTCTTTGAGAACTGTTTCCTGCAGGTTTGCATTGGATTGCCTTATCTTAATGTACAGCAGATTATATTGGAAAGCATTCCATCATATTAAAATAGTTTGTATTGTCAAGTACAATAGGGTGTATTGATGAAACACAGCTCTATGCTGCTCCCATCAGCTGCTTCACAGGGAAACCTGATGGATGCTTGAAACATCGGGGTGGGCTTCTTATATCAGCTGCTTCATAGGGAAACCCTATATCAGCTGGTTCATAGGAAGATCTCATGGATGCTTAAAACATCAGAGTGGGCTTCTTATAGCACCTGGTTCATAGGGAAACCCTATATGAACTGGTTCATGGGGAAAGCTGATGGATGCTTGAAACATCAGGGTGGGCTTCTTCTATCAGCTGCTTCATAGGAAGATCTCATGGATGCTTAAAACAACAGAGTGGGTTTCTTTATGGAGCATAGGACCTTAAACCCATCAGGGCCTGTGAGTCTCCAGGGCTGTGTGCTACCTGTGTGGAACTGTGGGATCCCCCTGGACTTGGCCCATGTACAGACACACTTTCAGTCTGTTTGTCAGAGGAGATATTGAGCTTGGAAGCCAAGTAAACAGCTCATTAGGGTGAACATGTCACCTGGGCTGCAGCACCATCGTGGTGTTGGTGCTGAGCACCAACAATGTGGGTGTTGGGGGTAAATCCTGGGTGTGAGCAGAGGCTGCTGTCCAATGGTTGCAGAAATGGGGTGTCTTGTTAAGCAGCAGAGCTGTGATCTTTGTTTGCAGGAGGGGAGATGACTCTAGTGAATACTTGTGCCACTAATGTGAGGTAAAAGTGAATAATTCCATTAACAACTGCTGCAGAATCTATGCAAAACAGCAAATGCATCAGCACCTGGAGATGCTTCCTGTGGTTGAGGACTGAATGATGAACATCCTAAGTCACAGATCCACTTCTAGGGGAAGATGCTCCTGCCCATGGCAGGGGTTGAAATGAGATGGGCTTTAAGTCCTTCCAACCCAAGCTATTCTGGGATTCAGAGAATCACAGAATGTTAAGGGGTTAGAATGGACCTTAAAGATAATCTAGTCCCAAACCCCCATTTCATTCCATGACTTGCTGTGGTTTCAGGGAACTGAACTCCCTCTCCTCATGCAGTACAGGTACATCCATGTGAGCCCCCAAACCTTTAATCCAGGATGGGGCTGACCCAAACCCACACCAGGATACAGCACACACTGACAGTAGCCCACCATGACCAGTGTTATTCAGGGGCATAAATACACCTGACAAGCCAAACACAGACAAAAAAAAGGTAAAGACAACTCCTGGGAAGACAGACAGACACCAAGTATTACAACACACAGATTATCCCAAATCCACAGGCCTATCCTAGAGCACTACTCCCTCCGGCTGGTTCAAATTCAGGCAACTCATCTATAGAACCCCAGAATGGTTTGGGTTGGAAGGTTAAAGACCACCCAGTTCCACCCCCTGCCATGGGCAGGGACACCTTCCACCAGCCCAGGTGTCTTCAAGCCTCATCCAACCTGGCCTTGTTTTCAGAATCACATTTATACCAGAGCGGGACCTGCTGTTAACACAACCAAAACTACCCACAACCTGCCAAAATGAGGACCATGTGGAGGATAAAAGACTTCCCTGACCTAAGAATATATTAGAAAGTCAGAGAACAACAAACTGTGTGAGGCTCGTGAATACAAGAAGTGTTTCTCTTTCCAACCTACCCCCATAAATGGTAGGGAATAAATCACACACAACTGGGCTGTGCATTATTGCTGATTAAAACCACTTATTGACCTTATTTCTCATGGTAGACCAGTTTTCACAGCAGATAAATTTAATCTAATGACATTTAGCCCTAAAAGCTTTCTAAATCCACCATCTCCCAACAACTTTGCTTAGAAGTTGAGGTGAACTTACAGGGTTGCTCCTCATTGCTCCTCCCACGGCTCTTGCTGCTCTGCTGTTGCCTGCCAGGTCTGCTAATTGCTTGTAGGAAACAGCCTCTCCAAACTTCACATCATTCAACAGGGTCCACAGCACTTGCTTGGTGAAGGAATCTGCAAGGAAGAAGAAGTGAGCACTGGTTGATTGCATGGCTGGAAAAATGAGGATGAAATAGTCAATGTAAGGAGAGTCTCAACAGCATTTTCTAATTTAAATTTAAACAGCCCCTCTGCACTGTCCTGTTATTGTACCCTCCATGCCTACATTTAAATACAAGATTATTAGCTCCAAGACCACTATAAAAAAAAGGATTTAAGGCTTGGATTCTCCTATATTTTTAATTTGCTTCAAGTACAATTATCCTGTTAACTCGTACAATGTGGGTTTTTTTTTCCCATTAAATGGGCAGAGTATAAATTAGCATAGAGTCAAATTAAAAGGGAAGAAATAAGTAGCTCTACCTATGTGACAAAGCCTTGGCATCTCCAGCTAATTTCCAACTTCAGCTGAGATGTGGGGGAAGACGCCCTAGAGCCAGTGGACTCTGCATTATCCTGGCTGACTGCATTTTATAGTCCAGACCCCCAAGCTACTGCTCAGCATTGCCAAACCTAAGGACTAGCTGTGACCTTGAATGCACAGAACATCCTTAATGACATGGAGAGGAAAAAAAAGAGAAATATAATGTATCTTCCATTATTTTCATTCCAGTTCGGCAGCAAATTGCTCCTAAGTGTTCCAATGGCTCAAATAATGAATAAGCAAACGCATTAGGAGCTGCTTTCTTTGGCATCTCAGGGTTTTTGCCCTGCCCAGGATTATTTTACAGGAGAAAAAGGGGCAGTTGTGGTTGGATTTTAGTTGGGTTGAACACCTCTCGCTCTTCCAAGGCACTTGGAGAAGCTTTGAAGATCTAACTGGTGAATAACTCCCTGAGAGGAGAGAGTTCGTGATTAAAAAGAGGAAAAATGTGGGGGGAAAAAGGAGGAGAGATCCTTTCCCTCAGCTGAGAGGCTCAACCTCCTGCTCTGGCAAAGAAACAACTGATTTCAACGACGGTTTAAACTGATTAAAAACATTTTCTTGCTTTAGTTGTCAAAAGAAGACACTGATTACCTTATGCAGGAAGGTAGAGAAATGTGATTTTGCTCTTAAAGGAAACCCACCCAGCCTTATGTGTGTGTTTAAATAATAAAAATCATTCTTAACTGAAGGGAATGATAATCACTTCATTGAAAAAAATCTGTTTAGTCTTTATTATAACATTAAGCAAATTAAACATCAGCATAATCCAGGTGATACGAGAAAAGGGTCATCAAAGAAATTAACTTTGTTGTTCATTAATTTACATGGATTAGTAGAGGGCAAAGAGATAGCAAATCTGCTCTAGTTTTTTATGATATAATTTCAAACTGTACACCGTTTGTGGCAGTAGGGTGACTTTGGGGTTAATCAGACTGATTTGTCCTTTTAATTGCTTTCTATTCAAAGAAAATTCATTAGATAATGTTCTCTTCAAAATTCATGAATCAATTTAACTGAAGAAACCACATTAACAGCTTTGGGTTCATTAGCACAAGCAGTTGTGTTACTGCCTGATTGCTATGAGGGTTTCCTTAGGCAAACAGATTTTGTTTACTGTGATTCCTCCAGAAAAGGTTTCTTTCCAATCAAATTGGTCCTCATGACTTTGGTCACCTCTTTGAGGCAGCGAGATCAGCACTAACCTCCCCTGTGCAGGGGCTGGGGAGGCACTGCCTGATGTCTTCACATCAATGACACACAGTGAGTCCACAAAAAAGCCCTTTTTGCCCTCATTTTTTGTGGGTTAGGATGTGATAGACCTGGAACGTTGCTCCTGCTTCTCCCTGATTCCAACAGGTTCTATAGAGTGTGCCAAGGCACTGAGTGGAGATGTGGCAGCTCCAGAGCTCCCCAGCAACAGCACCAGAGTGATGTCCAAATTCCTGAGTACCCTCCAACACACTGACAGAGGAACAGAGATTATCCTCCCCCAACAAGCAGGAGCAGAGTTTATCCTCCTGCCAGAGCCACTGCACGTGTGCCATGGGAGAACACACACTGCCTCTGCTCCCACATGAAACTCGTGAAGTCAAGAGCTCAGAGGAACGAAATATTCAGCAATCCTGTGCCTCATTCTAGAAACGCGTCTGAAAACTCCACTCCACCCTGTGGGGAGCGAATGCATTAATTAGTTTAAGCAGCTCGAAGAGACAGTGCCAAGTACTGTTATTAAACTGTCTGCAAGTGTGAGAGCCTGTGAGCACAACCTGCCCAGACGAGATGGCTGAACTTCCACCAGTTCTCACCGTGTGCCAGCGTTTTATGCTGTTAAATTTCCTTAGGAAGTGCTGTAAGAGCTGCACATAAAAATTAACACACACAAAGTCTCTTGTTGCACGAGAACACTTCGTACCTGCATGAGCTGAGGATGCCCACACCGTCCTGGGGAGGAAGGAACCAGCAGAGCCAGAGCTGAACGTGAGCATCAGGAGGATTTCTCCTTCCCCTGCACCCACCTGCATGTGCTGCACTGCTGGCAGCAGAAATACCTCCTCCAGGTGAGCAGGTGAACAGGCTCTGACTGTCTCCTTGCCAAGGAATGTGTGTTATGGCCTACACAGAGTAACCACCGCTGTTAGATGCTATTTCCCATCAAAAGGATCAGTAATTTGTTAGATTTCACAGGAAAATGCACATTTCTCCAGTTCCCACAGGGAGCTGGAGCTGCACTGGAAAGGCTGGGGTGAAGGACAGAGAAGGGAGAGGAGACCTGCGAGTGAGTTGGGCTTCTAATTGTCCACAGCTCTGAGGAACTGTTTCCACCTCCAGCTGTGTGTCCGTGGCATCCAAAGGTACTTGGGAGGGTTTCACTGAACCACAGGATGGTTTGAGTTGAAAGGACCTTAAAGACCATCCAGTCCCACCCCTGCCATGGGCAGAGACACCTCCCACCAGCCCAGGCTGCTCCAACCCCATCCAACCTGGCCTGGAACACACCCAGGGATGGAGCAGCCACAGCTGCTCTGGGCAATCTGTGCCAGAGCCTCAGCACCTCACAGGGAGGAATATTTACAGCTAAGTTATAACCCCCCAAAAGGACTTACCCAAACCTGCAGTTAATGCCCAAATGCTCAGAGGTCCCTTGGGACAGCTTGCTGGACTTTAATTCTCCATATAAACATGTTAAATCCATGGGGATAAACACAGAGAAAACCAATTTTACTTGCACACCAGCTGCATCATAACTTTTAACAGTGGAATTGAAGGTGGCAATTTGTCCAAAGAAGTAAACTCATATACCACTGACTAATCATCACAGAATCCCAGACTGGTTTGGGTTGGAAGGAACCTTAAAGACCATCTCATTCCAATCTCTGCCATGGGCAGGGACACCTTCCACTAGACAAGGTGCTGATATCTGCTATCTGACAAGCATTCATGGCGTTAGTGAGGGGCTCAGCCCTAGGGATGCAGGATGGATGGGGGAAGAGCAGAGACCAGTGCCAGTCCCCTCCTGCCCCCTCTGCACCTCCTCACACACTTCTTGGGGCAAGAGAGGCTCAGAAGAAAAACAGATTTTCCATCCCTCTTAATCCCTTTGGTTAAGAGGAATTAAAGATGGACCAATTTTTCCCTTCCCCTTAACTATGATTGCTGGGAATGTTAATTTTTGTTTGTTGTGTTGGGGGCTTGTTTTGGTTGTTTTTCTTTCCTTTTCTTTTTGTTTGCTTGTTTTTCCCCAAGAGTTTTCCAAATGCAAAGACACAGTTATAGACACTCACCCCTTCTCACCAGCTTGTTCACAGCCTGCCTGGGGTACTAAGACAACTTCTCTGTTTGTTTTTACACTTATTTGTCTTCGCTGTTATCACTATTGGTAAAAAAAAAGATAACATATTCAAACCACAACAGTTCCAAAATGCTTCAATCTACCTACAAAACAGCAGTTCCCACAGCAGCAGCAGCTTCTACCTAATCCAGAAACCTCTGTTTGGCTCTTGGACCTTGGAAGAACAGATTCAAACTCCAATTGCAGAACTCTACTGACAACAGGCAGCAGTGTAGAAGGTGAATGGAAGCAAGAGAGCTGGTTTAAGCAGTTTTGAACCTCCTTTACTCTTAAATATATTGTTAAAGCCTATGAAACCTGCCACCTACCCTAGGCTGAACTAGCAAGTGATATGTGAAGAGAGAAAGCTTTATCTGTTCTCTTGACTTCTTAATTGTATTTTGCTCTTGTTATGATGCACTTTCCATCCCTGGGAGTGTTCCAGGCCAGGCTGGAGCAACCAGATTGAAACATGGTTCCCTTCAGAGGGCCAAACTCTACCCTGAGAAGCAAGTAACTCTCCCTGGGCCTCATCCAGCACTGTTTCTGCAGGTTCAACTCCCTGAAAGTCAGTGGGTGTTTCACCTGAGTAGTAACTGATATCCTGAGCCATTTTGTTGCTCGGGAGCCTTAAGAGGAGTTTACTAAGCACTTCTAAGCGCAGATACTATTTGAGAGCTGATGGAAATGAGGAATTGGATGCTGAGCACCAACCCTTGACATACCCTGTCCATGGCACATTCCAAACTTCCCCAAATTCCCACTTCCAAATCCAAACCCACACAAGGTTCTATACAAACCAACAACTCCTTAAGCTTTAACAGCTTCATCTAAGCTTGGTATTCACCCCAGACTTGGGAAGCCACCACATCCCTGCCCAGGCTGAGCTTGGGCTTGGAGGCCATGGACCGATTAGATGGAGGAAATTGCAAAGCAGTTGACAAATCCCTGCTGGGCTCCAGCACAGCCCATGTCACAGCAGAGCATTCCCTCTGCCAGGTGATTTGTGCAGCTGTGTGCAGCAGTGGTACAGTTAAATGAAGAAGCCACCTGATTATCCTCTGAGCTGTAGGTAATACACCGAGCTGCAATTGCTCCAGGAGAGGAGAACAAATGTTTTGGATGAAGAGACAGAGAAAATATCAGTCTCTTCCCAGCCAACCAAATGTGGCAGCCAAGACCTGCACACTGCAGAGGGGATGGAGGCATAAAATCAATTTGCTTTTCTCTGACATCAGTTTTATGCTGATTCCTGAGATT